TGTGGAGGCCTTGGTTTCTTTCTTTTTTTTTTTTTCCAAAATTTTATTGATAAACAGATAGCAATGAGACAGTTTCAAATCAAATCGGAAGTACAGATTCAACAAATAACACACTGCATATATTCTTCTTAGTGGTTAATTGTTGTACAAGATGCGGACTTGAGATCCTATTTACAAACACAATTAGAACAAATCATTCTATTCATTAAGAGAATGCAACTATATATCTATCCTAACCACTTTGAATACGCAGATACAAAATGGACATTCATCGGTATACCCCATTTTTTCTAAGTTCCGTTATTGAATATTATAGGTGTGTAAACTCAGTAAAATATTCTAAAAGAGTCCAGTAGCCCATAATAGCATTGGGTCTTCTGTTTAACTGGCAATGTCAGAAATTATTGACCTGAGTCCCCCACAGCTCAACATAACAGCATGGCTTTACTTCCTATATTTCGTCTTCATACTTTTCTGCTGGATGGTTAAGACCAAGGTAAAGCAGGACCTATGCAACAAGAGTTGTAGCTTTTTGGTCTGAGAAGGTCAGTGAAATGCCCTCAGGATTTATCCTGAGATCCTGTACCTCAGACTGTAGAACCTTTGTCAGTGCAGCCCCTTGGTTTCTTTCTTTCTTTTTGGCAGAACCAGGGCTTGAACTCAGGTCCTTGCACTTGCCAGGCAAGTGCTTATTCTACTGAGCTATCTCCCCGGCCCCAGGCCCTGGTTTCAACTTCAAGTACAAAAAAGAAAATCCTATAAAATATAACCCATCATTCTATTGTTAGCATCATATTTTTCTCTTTAATTAAAAATTTTTTATTTGATACATGTTCATGCTACACAGTTCAGACTCATGGTGATCCTCCTGTCTCAGACTCCCTGGTGCTGAGTGTGCGCCACCATGCCCAGTTTCAGGGCAGGCTTGGCATGTGGTGCTTGGGATTAAACTTGGGTCCTTGTGCTTGCCAGGCAGGCACTAAGCTATCTTCCTAGCGCTAGCATCATGTTTTCCTGAAAATTTGACTAATAGCAGCAGTTGAGCTTTGAGACTGAAATGATATCCTGGATGGTGGCTATTTTACCAATTTATTGCTTCTTCAGGGCAATAAAGTCCTGTTAAAGTCCCATTCCTGCATGAACCTCCTGGCCAGATAGATATCTTTGAAAAATGAGCACCACAATGAGGTGCTCATTGTGGTATCTAAGCAGAAATCATTTGAACCTATGCTTACATACCACAATGAGGTGCTCATTGTGGTATCTAAGCAGAAATCATTTGAACCTATGCTTACTCACTACCCGATTGTAGTAGTGTAATGTTGTTATTATGTATAGGCAGTTAGATCAACCTAATGGTAGGGTCAGATAAAAGAGTAAATTTAAACAGCTAGTTAGTCAAGCAGCTAAACTAAGCTTAGAGATGCAATAGTAAACACACACCAAAAAAGATAAAAGGTCAAGATAAGAATAGAGAGAAATGAGCCTTTCCTCCTAGGAAAGAAACTCATTAGACAGATCGTGCTAAGTTAGCAACTCCTTCCTAACCTCTGGACCTGGACTTCAGCCTGACTCTAGAAAACATTAGAAATTCAAGATAACTATTTTCTTTTAAAACTCATTTTCTTGGAAAGGAATCCCCTCACTCTGCTTACCTATACAAGGACAGACAAAAATCATGTTGGACTTGTTTCCCCTCTTATATCCATTAAGAACCTTTTTCTTATTATTAACACTCTCTTAAATTCCTCTTTTTATCCTCAAATTTATTCATCAACTTTGGGAGACAAAGAACTTGAGTTTATACAAATGACCTGTTTTGCTATGATACCTGTGCCCAGTCATTAGAAAAGACAAACTGGCCATTTGCAAACTCTGCCATTTTAAACATGGAACTAGTTTAAATTGTACTAAGTTCAAGACTTTGCAGTTTCTAAAGGCCTTTCCTAGATGATTAATTCAATTCCACCTCTTCCTGCTCTTCCCATCAAAATTCCTCATTTCTGGGGTTGTGGACATGGTGGTATAGCCTAGCATGTAGAGAGGCCTCGGCTAAATCTTAAGCACCAAAGGAGAAAACATCAGTTCTGATTTTTTCTGAGCTCCTATGTTAGGACCAAGTGAATTTTGGAAAACAGAGGTAGAGGGGAGATATAGATCCTGTTTTCAAAGTGAATAGTTACCAGAGCCTGTCTTCCCAGAACTGGCCTGGAAAGTTGTCCTCTCTCTGACTTAGCAAAGCTAAGGAAGATAACATTCCTTTATAGTTTTTTAAAAATTATTTAAATTTATTTATTTTACTTATTTATTTGTGTGTGTGTGTGTGTGTGTGTGTGTGTGTGTGTGTGTGTTTATGGCCAGCTCAGCCCACCTGGGGGCGGGGCTGGCTGGCATGTGGTGCTGGGGGATTGAACTGCGGTCCCTGTACTTTGCTAAGCTTGTTCCAAGTAGGTGCTTTAGACCACTGAGCCATCTCACCAGCCCGAAAGAGTCGGGACAGGGGCGTGAACCGGCGACCTCACGCTTCAGAGCCCGGCGCGGAGACCGCTGCGCCAGGTCGCCACCTTAGAGTTTTCTATATTGCTCCTAAACCATAAGTGCAATTGTAAATGACTTTTCATCCTGTGGAATCATATGGAGGTGAGGAGAGGAATACACATTCAAAGAGCTGCCTCAGTTTCCCCAGTAGTTGGGATTATAGACATGCACTAATGCATATGGCCAAAGAATCTTGCTGAGTAATAGAAAGTGATCAGAAATGAGGTTAAATATCTGAGAATTAAAATAAGGAAAACTAACTGGGCATGGTGGTACCTGCCTGTACTCCTAGCACTCTGGGAAGCCAAGCAGGAGGATTGCAAGTTCAAGCTAAGATTGGACTTCTTGGCAAGTTGGTAAAAGCATGTCTCAATATAAAAATAATTTTCAAAGGCACTGGGGTGGGGCTGGGGAGATGGCTCAGTGAAATAAGCGCTTCCCTGGCAAGTGCAAGGGCCTGAGTTCAATCCTCGGTTCTGCCAAAAAACCCCAGACCAAACAAACAAACAAAAAAACCCAAAGAAAGTACTGAGGGTATAACTAAGCGACAAACACCTGGGTTTACTTTTCCAAACCAGAGAAAAAAAATACTAAGGAGGAAAATCAACACCTTAGTCCAACTGTAGATATACAATAGTTGTGTGTCAATAGAAATTGTAGGTGCTAGACAAGGTATCCACCCTTATTACTTTGGAGATGTGTTCGCAGGTTTGTTTGTTCCTTCATCTGTGAACCTGGTATGATGCTGGGAACTGTGGGACAATGCACAAATGGATGGGAGATGGTTCTGACCCTTATTGGAGAAAATACAACATTCACAAATAGAAGCAGTTCCGGCAGGTGCTTGATGCTTACGGAGTATTTGTGAAATCCCATGCTACAAGGTTGGCCAGATAAAGTTCAAGGCTGAAAGCAAGATGAAAGGAAGCATCATGCAAGTGAACAGAATATCAAGGGAAAAGACAGTGGTAAGAAAGCATAGGCTTTGTATGGAAGCCAAGTGACTTTGGCTAGGGGGCCAGAAACCCTCCGGGCAAGTAGTGAAAGATCATTTGAAGAAGTAGGTTGGAGCCAGCTGCAGTGGTTCATACCTGTAACACCAGCTAGTCAGGAGGTTATTCCAAGGGGCATCCCAAGTCCGAGGCCACCTACTCAATTTGGTCAGACCCTATCTCATAACCCAAAATAAAAAGGATTGGGGAGTTTAGGCTCTTGGGACTACAATATGGCCGAGCGGCTGCCTCCTGCGAAGCCGCCAGATCAGGTGTGCCCCTTCCTCTTCAAAGAGCCCAGGCAGAAAGGGGCAGCAGGCAGCCTAAAGCGCTGGGTGCGGGAGCCTAAACCCGGAGAAAGTAGCAGCATTGGTGACAAAGGCAGCACCGTGGTTCGACCCACAATCCAATGATTCAGAAGACCCGAGGCAGCGGTAAACTGAACGCGGCCTGCGATTATCTGAGCAGCGAGGAAGAGGAGGAGGGCAAGAGTTTGGGCGTGGTGTAGAAGTCCACCGCTCTGCGAAACCAGTAGGGCCAGAGGATATGGGAGCCACAGCGGTCTATGAACTGGACACAGAAGGAACGACACGCACAGGCCATCTTTAAGTGCAGCCAGAAGATCCAAGAAGAGCTGAGGGGCAAGGAGAATGACAAGATCTATAGAAGAATCAATAATTACCAGAAATACATGAAGCCCAAGGACACGTCCATGGACAACGCCTCCTCGGGAATGGTAAGGAAGGGCCCCATCTGAGTGCCTGAACAACTACGCAACACTGTGCGCTGGGATTACCAGCCCAATATCTGCAAGGACTACAAGGAGACTGGCTTCTGCAGCTTGGGAGACAGCTGCAAATTCCTCCACGACTGCTCAGATTACAAGCATGGGTGGCAGATTGAGCGTGAGCTTGGTGAGGGTTGCTATGGTGTCTGCGTGGACGAAAACTATGAAGTGGGGAGCGATGAGGAGGAAATACCGTTCAAATGTTTCATCTGCTGTCAGACCTTTAAAAGCCCAGTTGTCACCGAATTCAAACGTTATTTCTTTTCTTTTCTTTCTTTTTTTTTTTTATAAACTAGGAGTTTAATATAAATACAACCAGCATAGAAAAGCTCAAAACCATATACAAAACAAAAATCAGAATGGTAACCGGTGGGATGGAAGGGCATAAACTGACCCTTTGGCTCAGCCAGTCTCCCAAATAAAAACAAAGATTCATGCTAAGTTTGGGGGTAAGGGAGAGGGGGTGATAAGGTATTTTGTATAGGGAATGGCCAAAGAGAAACCAGACTGGAGTCGGCAAGACCCTGGGTACAGGGTGGAAGGGCAAGGTACCTCACCAGAACTTAAGCCAAATCTGAGTAGTCCTCAGGTGTTGCTTGGGCCCTGCCCCACTCCCCCTCTGAGAACCAGTAGCTGCTGCCCAGGCCTGCTGGGCTGAAGGCTGATACAGGCCCGGCCTACAGTTCAGGCTGCCTGTGGGGAGATGCAGGCATCACTGCTTAACCACAGAACCTGCTTCAGCTCCTGAAAACCATAAAAGACCACCTGCAGATTCACTCAACGCCTCCAGCAGCCGAGCAGACACAGCATCCTTGGCCACTTCATGTGCATCCTGCCCATCCGTGGCCAGCACGACCCAGATGAGGCCGCTTAAAAGGTACTGGATGCCCAGGGATCACTACCTGGTACCAGAAGCAGTGCCAGCCAGCAGGTCCTGCACCCAAACATTTGGTTAAGAATACTGGGCTGCCCAGCTTCATTCGTTGGCACAGCAGCTGCAGAGCAGCCCGAGAACCTTGGTACCCCAGCTTGCCCCTGGCCAGGACCAGTTGGCTGCCATCTGGCTGAAGGCACTGAAATGAGGGACCCACAAGCTGCTGGCGGAGCCACTGCTTTAGGTCTGGCTTGAGCCACTCCACAGCCACCTGTTCTCCACAGAGGCGTGACTGACCTTCTACTAGGGCCTTTTTGGCCATGGCGGCGGCGCGGTGCGAGCTGAACTTGAGCAGCGCTATCTGCGCGGGCTGCCGGCCAGGACTGGGCAGCAGCTGCGCCTCCTGCAGGCCGGGCCCCAGGGGCTGCAACGCCAGCAGCAGCATGTTGTGGGTCACGCCCAGCGGCAGCCCGTCCACGCTCAGCTCACACTTCTCGGTGCTGCGGCAGACGAGCAGCGGGCACGACGGTCGCAGAGGGTGGTTGTACAGCGTGGCGATGGCTGCCTGGGCGCCGCGCCGCGAGCTGTAGCGGGCGTAGGCGAAGCCCCGGTTCAGGCCACTGAAGGTCATCATCAGGCGGAACTCGTAAAGCCGGCCCACACGCTGGAAGAGTGGGATCAGCTGGTGCTCGTACACGTCCTGGGGCAGCCGGCCGATAAACACCTCGGAGCCCGCCGGCGGCGGGCTGCCCACCCAGCCTGGGGGTGGCCCGCCATACTTCCTCTGCCCGTTCACTTGCACTAGGCGGACGCCTGTCTCCCTGACCCACGCCTCCAGGGCCGCCTTATTTTCGGGATTCACCCTCTCACACCATTGCTCACATTCGCGTTTGGACTGCATGGCTGTGCTGCAATTTCACCCGCCCGTACCCTCTTTCTTAATCCCTCCTCGTCCTCCCCAAGCCCTAGGCCTCTGGAAACCTCAAACGTTATTTCTGCGAGACGTATGCGCTGCAGCATTTCCGCACCACCTCCCGCTGCTATGTCTGTGACCAGCAGACAAATGGTGTCTTCAGTCCTGCTAAAGAATTGATTGCTAAGCTGGAGAAGCATCGAGCTACTTCAGAGGGTGGTGCTTCTGATATACCAGACGATCCTGATAGGGTCTAATTCCCATAACTTAGGTTTTTCCATCTTTTTATTTTTTGCAATCACAAATAGGACTTTATTTATCACTATTAAAAATCTGGATCTTAAACAGACTCTTGGACTGGTGGTTCATATCCATCAGCTCGTTCCACTTTAGCTCCAGTCTCATCTCAGTAGCCTTTCCAGAGCTGCTACCTTCACCAGGAAGCTCCATGAGTTTTCCCAATTCAAACTTGGGCTTCTTCAGCATTTTTACTTTTCTGACGAAGGCATCATGAAGAGGGTAGATAGATTGGCAAGCCTTTTCTGTGTCTTTCCCAATACTGTCTGGAATCAGTTTATTGACCTCTTCCTTCAAGTCATTTGTCTGCATCTCCCGGGTCATGATTTCCATCATCTTCTTCTGGATCTGGCGGACCTGTTGGTGCTGAGTGTAAGAGGTCTTCCATATCTGATCGTTGCGTTTTTTAGTAAAGCCAACACAGAACAGTTGAAGCAAATAACCATCGGTAGTCTTGACATCAACATGAGCTTTGATCATGGTCTGCCATTTTTTGACCATGGAACACATTTTGTCCCGGGTGCGGTCCATGCCATGGAAGTTAGTCAGGCAGTTTTTGCCCTGAACATCCTCAGTAATCAGCTTGAATTTTCTAAAGGCAACTTCATCATTCTGCAGGTCAGTAAGGCTCACTTTAAACATATGACCTTTGAGCCCATCAGATGCAATTTTGGCTCCTTGGGTTTGGTGATGAGTGTTTTTCCAATGTTTCCTATGTTGAACATAGCTGGCGCCTTCACATCATGTCAGTCTTTTTTAGAAAATGGATCAACCACTTTCTTCTTGGCTCCTTTTTTGCCACCTTTCATAAGGCGCTTGTTTTTGCCTACCGCCATGGTGCTGCTCAGAGAGTCAAAAGGGCTTTTATTTATTTATTTATTTATTTATTTATTTTGGTAAGGGTCTACACGGTCTACAGGGTCTTACTATGTAGGTCCAGACTTGTAGTGATCCACCTGTATTCAGCCTCCCAAGAGCTGGGATTACAGGCGTGTGCCACCATGCCCAATCTCAATCACCTTTGCAGCACACCCCAGGGGTGGGTTGTTACGGCTTACCAGGGATCGAAACCTGGTCGCTGTGTCTGGCTAATCAGCCACGTTAATCCACTGAAATATTTGGCTGGCCATTGGTTTTCCATCATTGTCGGATCTCACAATAAATATTTTGTTTTTCCTTTGGTAGTCTTAACAAAAACAACCACAATTGAAGGAATATGATGCTTTCTGGAAGTTGGTAAACCATGTGTTTTATATAAAGGTGTTTCAGGTTGAATCGATATGCTTAACTTTTCAAAAACCCAAAATAGGCACCCCATATACCCCAAGTACATATTCTGATTCGAAAATGCATTGAAAACTAGTTGCTCATGCTTTATTGGGCCTGGGTGTGATTTTTCCTTTTTAAGGAACAGTGTTGCCACCTAGTGGAGAAATAGATTTGAGATTGTGCAAGGTGTAGGTAGTTCAGAAAGGCAAAAGTTTCTGGTTTCTGGAAGAAAGTAAAGATGGTTCTGTAGGATCCCAAATGTGGAAGAAATAAGGAAGGTATGGGACCTTTGAATTTAAAATTTGAAGACATGCATCAAGGCAGGAAGTTTGCTGTGTATATGTACAGTATAGACTTCATTGTGCAACTTGAAAAGATTCAAAAAGTATTCAGAGCATTAAAAAAAAAAAAAAGGATCGGTCAATGGCTTACCCAGTATGCACAAGGCTCTGTTCAATCCTTGATACAGGAAAAAAAAAAGTAGTTGGGAATCACAGAGGCACCTGCTAATGTCTTTAAGAGTGCACGCATGTTAGGAGATGTTAGTATTTCCCTTATGTAGAATAGGCCAAGACATTGTGGCATGAGACAGACTAGATCAGGGTATGTTTTGGGGTTGAGAGGAAAAGATATTGAAGAAGGTGAAAGATAGAGGAAATTGATCAAAACTACCTTTGTTCTTCAAAATTGAAAATATACCCAGGTAGGATATATAGAAGGTATGCAATAATTTAATATTTTTCCTTTATTCAGAAATTTATTTTATTTTTGTTTTTAAGGAAGGGTCTACATAATGTTCAGGCTCTTACTACTACATCAAACTCAGCTGCCAGGGAGATGGCTCAGTGGAATAAATGCTTCCTTGGCAAGAGCAAGGGCCTGAGTTCAATCCCTGGTTCGGCCAAACAAACAAAAAATCAGACTAACAGTGACTCAGCCCTAGGGATCGAACTCCGGCCCTTGAGCCTGCTTGCAGACTCTTTAATCCGCTGAGCTCTTTGGCTGGCCCCAGAAATTTAATTTTTAATTTACCAAAAGCAGTGAAAACAAACGATTCTTTCCCTTTTTCCCGCCAAAAATGCTTGCTTTGGTTACTCCACGGAGTAGTGGCATTACCATCTCTTGAGACAGAAACGCAGATTTCCAGACCTCTGATTCAGAGGGCGCGCTGAATAGTATGTAGGGTGACTCTGCGTGTTACAGTCTCAGAAATTCTGCTGTGACCCACTGTACTGCAGAGCCAGCGCTTTGCTGAAAAGAACTGCTAGTATGTGTGCGGGCTTGGTGTCTCATCAGAGGGCAGCAGTCCTCTTCCCCGCACCATCCCACAACTCTCCTCAGGACCCGCCCGGGTCCAGGCTCCCGCTGACCACTTGGGTTACAAGGCACGCTCGGGGAGGCGGTGCTCGGCCTGTCCAATGGGCGCTCCAGGACGGGGGGCGGGGCTCAACCTGTCCAATGGGCTCCCCAGGATGGGACGGAGCTAGGCCTCTCCAATGGGGTCTCCCGGTCGCAGGGCAGGGATCTCCTATTTCAGCTGCCCGAGCCGCAGGCGCTCCTCGCGTCCCGGGCAGGGCTAGTCATGTGGCGGGTGGTGCGCGCGCTGCGTGTGCACGCTGCAAATCTCAGCAAGTTCTCGGGACCTTGCGACAGGCCTGCTGCCTTCATGTCCACTCTGCTAATCCATCAGCCTCAGTATGCCTGGCTGAAAGAGCTGGGGCTCCGCGAGGAAAACGAGGGCGTGTACAATGGAAGCTGGGGCGGTAGGGGAGAGGTACGCGTGCGCCCGGGAAATCGCAGCTGCGGGGGTAGGGGTGTGTGTTAGTCTAGGAAACCCCGAGGGCCCGACTGTCTGTCGCTGTGGGCGACTGCACGGGATGGAAAGTTTAAAGTTTTCTCGTGTTGTGAACTACAGGCACAACCTTTCAGGTTAGGCCCTTTTGTGTTAGGAAGAAATGATTTCACTGTAATTTGGAGCTTACTTTAAACCTTATGGCACGTACCCTACTGGGTACGTTTATGTTGTCCTGTTTTCAGAAACCTTTTGGAATTTGACAGCTTGTGTTTGCTAAAATCCTGTGAACTTCACGAGGACAGGATTTTCTGATTCCTTTATTGCTCTGAGCTAAGCATCGAGTCTGGCTTCGATTTCTGTTTAATAAAATGTTGTTATAGAGTATAATGGAAAGTTATCTAAAGAGAGTGGCACGCAGAAGGAATGTTATGTAATATTGAACGCCGATAGGAGTATTGTATACTTAACTGTTCGAGGGAACATCTGGTTATTTGTGGCTGTAGGAGATGCAGATGACTTTATTGTTCCCCATCTCCTCCTGCGTGAAAGTTTCGTCCTGTTTCTCTTGGGGCATTGCTCGGAAGATTCTTTGGCAGAATGGCCTTTCCTGAAGGCTTTTTAGCTGCACTCTGGCTTTGCTTTTTTTTTTCTAGTTGAACCTGAGACCTCGCCAGTTCGCGTGGGTGCAGGCCTTGCCCTACTTGTCTAGACTCGGCTGCTTCATCTTCTGACCAGAGGCTGGGCAGAGTAAGGGCAGGGGATAAGGAAAACTCCTATCACAGTCTCTTAACGGAGAAAGAGCTGGATTACCTGGTTACATTAAAGCCTTTCTGTATGTACCTAATGTTAAGATGACAAAGGTCTAAAAGAAAGCTGATTTCTACTATTTAGAAGAGAACTGAAAATTGAATTTTCAGCTACCTAGTTGATCTATTCTCTTAATTTGGAAGGGATTACAATGGCTGTAAATGATGGTGATCTTTTTGTTTTAAGGTTATTACCACCTATTGTCCTGTTAACAATGAGCCAATAGCAAGAGTCAGACAGGTAAGTTTTAAAATTCAAACTGCTTTCAGGGAATTTGTAACCTTTCTTTCGAGACAGAAGCCTACTAGGCAAGCCAAGAGCTATACCAGAATATAAATGCAAAGAATAATGTGTCTCTTTTTCCTTTGACGTTTAAACATGCCTAGGAAGCACTGACCACCGTTTGGGTGGGGGGTGGTGTGCCCTAAAAAGGTGAACTAGAGGACTGGGAGGGTGTCTGTCCAAGGCAACGCTTCTGAACCACCTGAGGTTTCGTTAGTGGAATTTCTGATTCCTTAAGTTTGGGTGGAGCCTGAGGGTCTGTTACCAATGTAGAGCAAGCTCAGGTGTTCTTAAGTGAGGCAAACTGACCTTTGCTTTGGAAAAACAAAGTTTAAAGCACAGCTGGGTCCCATTCTGTCTTACTGGGTTGTAGCCAGTTTTCTGAAGACTGTTGACATTGTTCTCAGCTATAAATCTTAAGAGACACCCAGGGATTTTTTTCCCAGTTCTTTTCTAAAAAATGCCAGTGTGCTCTCGAAGGTCATCATCTTCTGTACTCTTTCTCTCCTCTTAATGCTTTGTGTAGGCCAGTGTGGCGGACTATGAAGAAACTGTCAAGAAAGCAAAAGAAGCCTGGAAAGTTTGGGTGGATGTAAGTATGGCCTGCGTGGTCCAAAGCGCAGATGTCCCCTGCTGTGGTTGTGAGAGATAAGTGAAACCTCTGAGAAGCAGGCCAGTATGTCTTGCAGAAATATTAGCTCCTTGGGGCCCAGATGTGTCTCCCTTGGCTCCCTAGGAGACTGTCTTTTCTATAAGTGGCATTTAGTGAATGAATGCTTTTAAACAGATTAGAACTCTGTACTCACGTAGTAGAAGTTCAAGCTATGACTATTCCACGTGGAAGTTATAAGAGAGCAAGTAGGAGAAAATAAAGATTATTATTATTTTTTAAATGTATTTAGTATTAGGGACTCACTGTACAGATTGGACTCGTAGTGACCCTCCTGTTTTCAGCCTCCCAAGCACTGGGATTGCAGGCACATGCCACCATGCCCAGTCTCAGTCACTGGCACAGCACGCGTGTGTTGAACCCTGGTCGCTGCACCTGCCTAAGTAGGCACTTTATAGTCTGCTGGGCTGGCTGGCTGGCCCTGGTAGAGATTATGTTAAAATACCTTCTTTCCCTTATTTTATTTTTTAAAATGTATTTAGTATAGTGTCTACAGGGTCTCATGACACAGATCGGACTTGCAGTGAGTGATTCTCCTGTTTTCAGTCTCCCAAGCACTGAGATTACAGGTGCATGCCATCACCCCCAGTCTCAATCGCTGTCTCAGTGCACCCCGGGGGCGGGGCTTGTATGGCACACAGGGGTCCCCTTTGTTTTCTGTCATGCCAGGTGGTAGCAACTCTGCATAGATCATGTTACCCTGCCAGCCACAAAAGCAGCCATCTGCAGCATCTCTTTTTCAGGCCAAGGGGCTGGTATGGACTGTAAGGCAGGGTCTGCTTCCTTGGTCTGAGTTTCTAGTAGGGTTTAAAAGAGCACATGTGAGAATTGCGACTGGTTCTGGGCTGAGCCACACTGACCTGTCCCTAGGTGGAGGCCGCTTCCTGTGCAAGGGAGTCAGAGGGAGCAGGGATAGCCTGGGTGTTCAGTGCCCGTCTGTCTTTCACCCTCGAAGTGCTGTGTCATAGAAAGGGAGGCCAGCCCAGCTCCATGCTCGCCATGAGGGGTAAGGGAGTTAACCATTTAAAGTGCTCCCAGGAGAGCCCAACACATGACAAGCCTCAGGACAGTGCCTGCAGGGGTTTGAGGTTGGGGGTGTGCAGAATGTGGATAGATGTTCCTGAGGCGGGGCAGTGCTGTTAGCCAAAACCATCTTTGTGCAAAGCACAGAGAACATCTTTAATTATGGATATAAATTAGGCTTCGTTTGTCTTGAAATTGTGTATTTTTATAATTGGAAAAAAAGAAGAAGAAGAAAATTAGGCTTAGGGTTTCATTATTTAAAAAAAAAAAAAAATTCTTGACCAGAAAGATACAAGTTGACAGTGTTGTAAGTAAAGTTCACTATACCTAGGCAAAGAACAGTGTCCCAAACAGTATCATCTTTTGTTTAAAAGTTACTTTTCTTTTCAATCATAAAAGTATGTTAAAAAAAAAAAGTGGTAAAATAATCTTTGCTTTCTTCAAATGAAGTAATTATTGCAGTTATGTTTTGGTATACTTGTTTCCAGTCGCATGTGTTTACCCCATCATTATGATTTATATATACTTATGTGCAAGGTGTAGGACATTTTGAGATTTACCATTACACTATATACCAACTTTATATAAAGTTACTGTATGGTTTTTAAATTACTGATTAGTTTTCTATACATATAATTTGAAAGTCTATTTTTTTTTCTTTTTTATTAGGGGGATTTAATCCAGAGGTATTTTGTCACTGAGCTCTATTTCTAACTCTTTGTATGTTTTATTTTGAGACACGGTCTTATTCAGTGACTCAGGACGGCCCTGGGTTTGTGACACTCCTGCCTCTGCCTCCCAGGTAGCTGGTATCACAGTGGTGTGCCTATGCCTGGCTAGTTACTACTTTACTTTTTAGAGCAGTTTTGTTTTGTAGAGCAGTTTTATGTTCACAGAAAAATGAATAGTAAGTGCAGAGTTCTCACTGCCCCTCTTTCTGCCATGGTTAACATCGTGCATTGGTGTGGCCCCTGATCACGGGGCAAAACTGCTACATTATTAACAAAAATATTATTTATGATACGGGTTCACTTTTTGAACACTTTATGCTGAATGGTATTGCAACTTCCCACCTCCTATGAACAGAGGTATTGTATGTGTGTATTTACCTAGAGTAAATACAAGCATGTTTGAAATGAGTTTGTGTGAATTAAGCTTCTTGATTCTCCATGAGCTAGCTGTGAACTCTCCTGGCCATGCGCTGGGGATGGTCCCTGGCATGACTCTTCTCCTCAGTCGTTGCGCTTTGCTTTCCTTGCTGCTGTTTCTTTCTGCATGCGGGGTCTCTGTTAGCAGTGCACATTCTCGCTTCTGCGTCTCCTACCACGTCTGCTGATTGTGCTCTTAGGCTTCTAAACAGCCTAGAGTGCTGGATGGGCACCACTTGCTTTCCTCCATGATAGAAGCAGGGCCAAATGGGACTCTGCTTGTTAAAATTTGAGTTTAGGGTAGCACAGGTTTTTCCTGACCGGGCTTGTGGGACACTGGCTCCCATGACCGTGACTTAGAATGAGGACAGAACAGAGCTGCAGGGGCCGGGGAGATGGCTCAGTGGAATAAGTGCTTCCCTGGCAAGCAATAAGGGCATGAGGTCAATCCCCGGTTCTGCTAAAAAAAAAAAAAAAAAAAACAGCTGCTGCCTGGCTGCTCTAAAGCTTTCCCAAGCCCATGCTCCCTGGCGGGGTGCTACCTGTCCTGGCCCTCTTCCTTCCTGCTGGCCCCTGTGTGAGGGCAAAGCGCTGTTTGTTTCTTATTTTATTTTTATTTTTATTTTTATTTTTTTTAATATTTAGTTATTTATTTATTTTGTGTGTGTGTGGCCAGCTCAGCCCACCAGGGGGCAGGGCCGGCTGGCATGTGGTGCTGGGGGATTGAACCGCGGTCCCTGTGTTTTGCTTAGTTTAGCTTGTTCTAAGTAGGTGCTTTAGACCACTGAGCCATCTCACCAGCCCTGTTTGTTTCTTTAGTTCACTCAAGCCTAGAATTTTTTTAAAGGGAACTTTTAAATTTTATTTATTTATTTATTTTGTATTTTAGGGAAGGGTCTACAAGGGTGTTCAGGGTCTCACTACTAGATCAGACTCATAGTGATCCACCTGTTTACAGCTTCCCCAGAGCTGGGATTACAGGTGCTTACCACCATGCCCAGTCTCAATTGCCATCTCAGTCCACCCCTAGGGCGGGGCCCACACAGCAGGTCTGAGGATCGAACTCCTGGCCCCTGCACCTGCTTGCAGCCGCATTAATTCACTGAGCTATTTGGCCAGCTCAACATTTTTTTCTTCGAGGGAAATGCAAACGGTGTAAATATATGAAAAGGTAGTTTATAAAAAGTGACTTCTTGTGAGGATGTGTTGCCTTTTTTCCTGTAATCCCAGCACCTAGGAGGCTGAGGCAGGAGGATCATGAGTTTGAGGCCAGCCTCAGCTATAGACCCTATCTTTAAAAACAACAACAGAAAAGATCTCTGTTGAGTACAGTAATGCATGTATGTAACCCCAGCTTCTAGAGAGGCCAAAGAAAGAAGATTGCAAATTTGAACCATGTGTGCACAAGTTAGTAATATTCTGCATTAAAATAAGAAGGCTGGGGGGCGGGTAAGGGGGAAAGAAGGCTGGAGATGTAGCTCAGCATACTCTGGGCTCAGTTCCGAGTAGTTCCTGAGTCAGCAAGTCAGTTCCTCTCTTAACCGAAACCCACCACAGAGAACCTGGTCAGGAAAACAGGCCTGGTGCTTTCCTAGCGAGCCAGTTCCAGCCCTGAATGCTGCTTGTTTCTGTGACCACTATTCACCGCTTCATCTCTAATGAGGGACAGCTGGAGTCTCTTCCTTCCCTGCAGGGCCAAAACTGTTACTGGCCATCTCTCCCAGCTACCAAAAGAAATGTTGGATGGTTGGTACCTTTTTATGTTTGTTTGCTGGTTTAGGTCAGTATCTTGCTATGTAGCTCAGACTGGCCTTGAACTCAAGAGCTCAGATGATCCTCCTGTTCAGCCTCTCAGCCTCCCAGCGCGTGAGACAACAGTTGTACTCTGTCCGTCCAGCTTTCCCAAAGCCTCGGCTAACACTTCCTTCAGTGCTTTTAGTTCCTTTCTCATGACTGTTTTATTTTATTTTTGGTGGAACCGGGGATTGAACTCAGGCCCCTGTGCTTGCCAGGCAAGCGCTTATTCTACTGAGCCATCTCCCTGGCCCCTCATGACTGTCTTAGATGGCCTTCTAGATGTGACTATAGATGAAGGGTATAGGATGAGGACGCTTGTTACCCATCTGGAGGACAGATGGGCTTATTGATGCCAGGTGCTCCCGTTCCTCCCAAAGTCCCTCTCAGCCCTGGTCCTGACTTTCTCAATTATCACTGCTACTGAGACTCACCTGGGAAGCTGAAGAAAATAAAGATGCCAGATTGGAGTGGTTGGGGTGGTGTCTGGTTATAGGGATGCTTTGGGGGTGATTCTCTCTCCAATCTGTAGTCCAAGTTGAGAGTGAGTGGTCAATTTGTAATGACCCAGTCTTGGACACTTTAAATAATATTTCTTTCTGTCATAGTCTGGTTTTGTTGCTACAAGTGAATATTGTGGATTAAGAAACCTACAAAAAAAAATGGTCAAGAAATACTGATCATTCAGACTGAAGTTAACTTTTTTTTTTTTTTTTTTTTTTTTGAGACAGGGTCTTACTATGTAGTGTAGGCTGGTCTTAAACTTGTAGCAATCCTCCTGCCTCAGCCTCCCAAGTGCTGGGATTACAGGTGTGTTCTACCACACCTGGCTGAATTTAGCCAGTTTGACAAAACTTCACAAAATATGCTAGCTAAATTCATTGGAAATAATACGAAACTGAAACCCTCTACTGGGAAATCTGTAGGATGTGCACTAATTCATTTAACTTTCAAAGGTTCTGTTGCCTTTTTCCAGAAGAATGCATATATCCTAAAAATGGCACGTTTTACAGATGTATAGACTGCAGAATGCAGGTGTTTTAACTCTTCTCTCAAATGATCGCTGTGGGCAGCTTGATATGTAGTCCTCCAAATTTGAGCAACTTTACATTTGTCTGTGCTTGTCTGTTCTGTTATAGCTTCTCAATGCTGTTCTTGTCCATTTTATTTTATTTTATTTATTTATTTATTGATTGCAGAACCAGGGATTGAACTCAGGCCCTTGCGCTTGCCAGGGAAGGGCTTATTCCACTGAGCCGTCTCCCGGGCCCCTCTTGTCCATTTTATGACTGGCCCATAATTAATCCATCGGTGCTGATGGACATTTACATGGGTTCTAGTTTCTCTGTGAGAAACAGCACATGAGAATATTGTCCTTTTTCACACTTGTGTATAACATTTATATATAAGCTTAGTTTCCAGAAGTGAAAGGGTAAAATGTTTTCAGTGGTAAAGGATTTCTGAGCTTCCCTTCCAAACATCTGTGCTAAGACAAGAATGCACAGTGGAACAAGAGAGAGCAAAAAGCACAACCTTACAGTCACGTGCCGTGGGGTGGAGCTGAGGGGTGCGGTGATGATGGGTGGGGAGCCGTGGGCTCCTGCCTGGGGAGGGTTTCTCTTAGCCACCTTTGGAAGGAGGAGTGGTAGAGGGAGAGCCAGAGGAGAGAGCCGAGAGTGCTGGCCTCCACACAGTCTGCTTTGGTGTGATCGTATTCTGCTGCTCTGCACTGCATGTCCAACACTGTTGTAGACGTGGCGTTACACATGGACTCCGACTTGACAGTTTTGTTCTTTTCTTAGATTCCTGCTCCAAAGCGAGGAGAAATAGTCAGACAGATTGGCAATGCCTTGCGGGAGAAGATCCAAGTCCTGGGAAGCTTGGTAAACTCCTTTTGTAGTATGTACATAATTCACGGGGTGGAGGATAAGGCCGGCATGCATTTCAGTTTGTGTGGTTGTAATTTTAAAATCAGTTTATTAATTTAAATAATCCTTTCTTTAGAGGAAAGATGAATAAGGTGAACAGGAAAAGGAGATGGATATTTTTCTCTTCTGTTGGTGGTACTGGGGATTGAACCCAGGGAGTGTGGAATTGTATCTCCAGCCCCTTTTATTTTGAGACAGGGTCTTGCTAGGCTTGAATTCACTATTGGGTCTCATCGTCCTGAGTAGCTGGGATTATAGGCATTCACCATCAGGCCCGGCAATTCTCTGGTTTGAATTTTTTTTTTTTTTCAGAAAAATAAGAACAGACTTTCCTTAGTTTATTACCTTCAGAAAACAGACACAAAATAATGTATTTACTTTTGCCTCCTCAATTTAATGTTTAAAATATAAACTCTGTAGAGAAAATTCAGTTTTCATTTTTTTAATGTTTTAGGTATCTTTGGAGATGGGGAAAATCCTAGTGGAAAGTGTGGGAGAAATTCAAGAGTACGTGGATATTTGCGATTATGCTGTTGGTTTATCACGGATGATTGGGGGACCTGTCTTGCCTTCTGAAAGTAAGCCATGGAGTCCATTAAACTGAATTTTGTAGTCTGATAAAGAGATCTCCATAATCTACTGGAGGTGTGAATAGTTTACAAAAGAGCAATTGTAAGGAGAATAAGTGTGTGAAAGTGTCTTCAGTCTTTCTGAGAAGTACAAATTAAGGTGGGTGAAAACATTAGATCATGGGGCTGGTGAGATGGCTCAGTGGTCTAAAGCATCTACTTAGAACAAGCTTAGCAAAGCACAGGGACCGCGGTTCAATCCCCCAGCACCACATGCCAGCCAGCCCCACCCCCTGGTGGACTGAGCTGGCCACATACACACACACACACACACACACACACATAAATAAAAAAACAAAAAAACATTAGATCACGAACTTTTTCCCCCCTTCAGTGCTGGGATTACAGGTGTGTATCATCACCCTGGCTTAGTGGAGAAACTCTTTTTGTGGTGTTTTTTTATTTTGTAAGACTAATGTTGGGAGTCCATGACTGAGATACTCTTCTAAAACATCTAGAAAACTATTTAGAAATATACCCAGAGGGCTTAAATTTAAAGCCATTTTTATGAATCTAAGTAAAACTAAAAGGTAGCTAAGAATGGTAGTGCACACCTGTAATCCCAGCACTCGGGAGGCTGAGGCAGGAGGATCCCTGCAATTATGAGGTCAGTCTGGGCTCCATGGTTAGTTCAGTCCCTGCCCAGACTACATAGTGAGCCCTTATCTCAAAAGCAAAACAAATCTAAAAGATTAGTTATTTAAGTGCTAAATCATAAGGAAAATATTCAGCTAATTTTGGTAGATGATTAGTATGTGTTGAAAGTAATGTTTTTGAAGATTTCTTCTAACACCACACTTCTATGGGAAGGTAGTATTAACTTTTTTTTTTTTTTTTAATTTATTCGTGTGTGTGTGTGTGTGTGTGTGTGTGGCCAGCTCAGCCCACCAGGGGGCGGACTGGCAGGCATGTGGTGCTGGGGGATTGAACCGTGGTCCCTGGGCTTTGCTAAGCTTGTTCTAAGCAGGTGCTTTAGACCACTGAGCCATCTCACCAGCCCCAGTATTAACTTTTAAATTTTAGTTTTTGAAGACATAGCATGTGCATAGCAAAGAACTAGAAAGGATTAAGAGGAAAAGAATGAAAACTTTCCTTCTAGCTCCTGGCAATGCCATAGTGCCTTGCAGAATTGTGATGGTTTTTTATTTCATATGTCTTTAGAACATTTGGGGCCGGGGAGATGGCTCAGTGGAATAAGCGCTTCCCTGGCAAGTGCAAGGGCCTGAGTTCAATCCCCAGTTCTGCAAAAAAAAAAAAAGCACTAGAACTTTTATTCACATATAAGTGAGTATATGTCTTTAAAAAACACCAGCATGTTCTATATATATATTTTTTCCTATTTAACATATCTACAAATTGTTTCACATTAGTACAGTAAGAGCGTTGTTCGTTCGTTCGTTCTTTCTTTCTTTCTTTCTTTCTTTCTTTCTTTCTTTCTTTCTTTCCTGCTGCTGGGTCAGGGACCCAGGACCTCATGAATGCTAGGCAAGCATTCTACCACAGAGCTCTACCTCCTGTCCTTCATGTTTTAGAAATGGCTATTTTAGGGCCAGCCAGATAGCTCAGTGGATTAAAGCACCTGCTTAGGCAGATGCAGGGGCCTGGGGTTCCATCCCCAGAGTGCTGTGCCCCCCGCCCCAGGGCACACTGAGACTGTGATTGAGAATGGGAGTGGGGGTGTGCACCTGTAATCCCCAGCACTTGGGAGGCTGAAAACAGGAGGATCACTACAAGTCCGATCTGTGTAGTGAGACCCTGTAGACCCTGCACTAAATACATTTTAAAAATGTCTGTTTTGTTATAAAGAATTAGAGTCTAGCTCTCCAAAGGCAGATATTTAGGACAGTTTTCCATTTTTCTATTACAAACTGTGCTGCCAGGACCGACTTTGTACTCCAGGGCTGCTTAGCAGATGAGGATGGGCCTTCTGCAGCACTGGTGGAACAGCTCGGTGGTAGAATTATTGGGATTATTACTATCATCTGTTTGCTGTGTTTTCTAAAATTTCCATGATGAGAAGTATACTGCATTTATAATCAGGAGAAGAAATTTCTCAAGGCATTGTTTTATTTGGGATATTGGTTAGTACTGGGGGTTGAACCCAGGGCCTTACCCATATGAGGCCAGTGCTGTATCATTGCACTCTGTCCTCAACTCTTTTTTTTTAAATGTATTTAGTGCAGGGTCTACAGGGTCTCACTACACAGATCGGACGTGTAGTGATCCTCCTGTTTTCAGCCTCCCAAGTGCTGGGATTACAGGCGCCTGCCTCCATGCCCAGTTTTATTAGCCATCTCAGTGTGCCCTGGGGGCATGGCCTGTACAGCACACTGGGGATTGAACCTTGGTCCCTGTGTCTGCCCAAGCAGGTACTTTAATCTGTTGAACTCTCTGTACGGCCCTTCTCAACTCTTTTTATTTTACTTTACTTTCTCTGTTTAAGATGGTCTTGCTGAGTGCTCAGGCTGGCCCAGAATTTGTGATCCTCCTACCTTAGCTTTCTGAATACTGGGATTACAGGTGTGTACTGCCACGCCCAGCTTAGAAGTCTCTTTACATGTGCTTTTAATGTCCTTAATTAAATAGAGTCAGTGCAATGATCCAAAATTAATTTTATGTCATTGAACACTTTCAAGAGTCTTTGCCAGTAAATAGCCAGTTTGGCAAGTATACCCATGCAAGCAAGTAACTTGTTGATTTATATCATCAGTTACAGTCTTTTCCAATTACTTACACAGTTTTAAGAAAAGCTTATCTATGTGGAGGCTTTCGGGTAACTGACTTTATTAACTTAGCAAATGCTTTTGAAAAGTCTGTGCCAGGAGGTTTAATAGGTGACATGTAGTCAATGAGGTGTCAAGCTCAGCTTCAGGATTCATAAACTTTTAAGTGACATATGTTTTAGAGCGGGAGAAAGTTGTAACAGTGCATGGTAGGTGCTCTGATTGGGCAGGGGATAGGCTGCTGAGGGGATAGGATGCTGAGTGACTCCTGGGCTTGCCGTGTGTACCCTTGGGAAAGCCCTCCTAGGGGACAAGAGGTGGATGGAGGCTGGAGCTGGGGATTGCTTCACACAGAGAAGAGGTTTATACAAGTTTGAAGTGGGAAAGCAATTGACTTGGGAAATGCATTGCTTTAGCACCAATGAGGGTCCTGAGTGGGTTCTCGTCCCTCAGGAAGAGACTGCTGGTTGTGTGGGATGCTGGCAGACGTGGAGGGCTGGAAGTGAGGGGCCTCAGCAGGTTGAGAGGGTGGGCAGGAGAGGAGGCAGCTCTGAGGTCCTAAGGAGGATTGGGGATGAGGCGCAGGCCTAGCTAGCCATGTGAGTGTGGCTGGAGAGGCTGGAGGCTGCGGCCGCTGCCTTCCTCATGGTCCGTGGCTATATCCCAGGTGTATGAGCACTCACAGTCCTTTGTTCTCATTCTTTCATTGCTCCAGCTGCCTTTGATTAAAATCTCTCTTTGTGGGATTATGGTTGACTTTAAAGTTTGTATTTAAAATATAAACATTTCTGTTTTTTTTGTTTGTTTGTTTTGTTGTTGTTTTGAGACAGGGTCTCATTATGTATGTAGTCCTGGCATGCTTTGAACTCACCATGTAGCCCAGGCTGGCCTTGAACTTGCTTGCAGTCCTCCTGCTTCAGCCTCTTAGGTGCTGGGATTGCAGGCATGTGCTACCCCACATGACTGTGCTTTTAATTTTCTTATAGTGAATATGAAGTTTTTGTAACTCAGTTAACATGTGCATATAAATGAGACACTTGAACTTATTGAGATTGGCTCATGAGGCAACAAAGAACATAGATCTAAGACTCAATCCTGGGCTGGGGGTATAGCTCAGCAGTGTAAGTGCCTCCTAGCAAGCGCAAGGTCCTGAGTTTGATCCCTAGTACTGGGGGGGGGGGGGAGAAAAGAAATAGATCCTAAGTCATGCATTTTGGCTGCATTCTGCCTTTTGCTATCACATCTCTCAAGGTATGTTTTTTTTTTTTTTTTTTTGGTGGAACTGGGGATTGAACTCAGGCCCTTGCACTTGCCAGGGAAGCACTTATTGCACTGAGCCATCTCCCTGGCCTCAAGGTATCTTAACCACCTCTCTGAAGTTTCCTTGTATGCCAGATGAGACTGATGCTGTCCTGGTCTGCACAGTCCCAGCGAGGGTTAGAAGCATAATGACTCTCATGATTTATGGCATCCTGTGCTACAAATACTTCTGTTTTACATTACATGTACATTTCTTACATATCCACTACAAAGCATCTAGAATCCCTTCTGGCCTGGTGCCCTGCACTCTCACTCCAAAAATGAAAAAATGCCAGACTTATGGAAACCTGAGATGGGAAACCCTTGTTTTCTGACATTAAAATTCATTTGGTGGGTTCGTGTGCATTCAGTTCCCGTGCTGAGCCGGTCCCCTGTCCTCCCCGCTCCAGGGCCTGGTCATATGCTCATCGAGCAGTGGAATCCTGTCGGCCTGGTGGGAGTCATCTCTGCATTCAATTTCCCTGCAGCGGTGTATGGCTGGAACAACGCCATCGCGCTGGTCACCGGAAATGTTTGCCTATGGTAAGGTCTGCACGCTTCCCCACCCAGGAGTAAGGAGCCATTTTCACATACTGCTAAAATATTTTAAATCTATTGAAATGTTTCCTATACTTGCTCTTTCAGTTAGCAAGTTAAGTTACATGTGCTGTTGGTAAAGTACTGATTTTGAATATTTGCATATTTTACTGTTGTTGACTTAACCTTCTTTTTCTTTTTGAATACAACAGCATCCCACTCTTCCTTCTAGCTCCATTTCCATTCCTGGTTGCTGTATTATTCAATTCTGGTGCTTTGTGCAAGGCACCTTTCCTTGGGTGCAGGACTCGGTCCTCAGTGATATTGTCCCCCCACTCTGGATGTAATGGTCTTTTTTTTTTTTTAATTATTTATTTATTTATTTATTTTTATTTTTCAACAAATAATACACTGCATATGTTCTTCTTAGTGGTTAATTGCTGTACAAGATGCGGACTTGTGATCCTATTTACAAACACCATTAGAACAAATTATTCTATTCATTAACAGAATGTAACTATATATCTATCCCAACCACTTTGAATACACAGATACAAAATGGACATTCATCTGTATACCCCATTTTTTCTAAGTTCCGTTATTGAATATTATAGGTGTGTAAACTCAGCAAAATATTCTAAAGGAGTCCAGTAGCCCATAATAGCATTGGGTCTTCTGTTTAACTGGCAATGTCAGAAATTATTGACCTGAGTCCCCCACAGCTCAACTTAACAGCATGGCTTTATTTCTTATAATTTTGTCTTCATACTTTTCTGCTGGATGGTTAAGACCAAGGTAAAGCAGGACCTATGCAACAAGAGTTGTAGCTTTTTGGTCTGAGAAGGTCAGTGAAATGCCCTCAGGATTTGTCCTGAGATCCTGTACCTCAGATTGCAGAACCTTTATCAGTGCAGCCATGTGGATGAGTCACAGCCAAAGCTTGGCCAATGTGCTCTCTGTGAAAGCCTGAGAGAGTATCTTCTCCCCATGTGACTCTCCTTAGGCCCACTCTATGTCATCGATCACTTTCCTCTTTGGCCCCATAATCTTCTTGATCAGAAAATTTGGGACACTATGTAATGGTCTTAAACGTTGAATATACATTGAATACATTGGATGTGCACCACGTCTGTCTACAAACATAGCTGAAAGGATCAGTGCTGGCACTGGGTTGCCATGGAACCCATGCTTCCCAGCATCCTAATCCAAATGGCTAGTTCTACAGCTGATAGTCCCGCTCCATTCGGGTGCCACAACTGCCACAGTCCCTTGGATCAGTGCAGCAGTAGGTTCACCACCACTTCATGCTTTTTTCTGTTCATGAAAGTTTTATAGTCTGTTAGGTCCCAGGGACACCACCTGAGGGATGGATTTCTATGTACTACTAGACTGATTTTATTGTGTAATTAGATGGCTTTTTATCAGAATGACTTTTGCTTCTGCTTAATAAAAGATGTTTATTTTTTCCTCATTAAATTTCTCTCTTTTTTTTTTAAACATCTGAAGGAAAGGAGCCCCAACAACTTCCCTCATTAGTGTAGCTGTCACAAAGTAAGTATGTGCATGGCTTGCTTGGGAGAATGATTGATAGACCCTACATTTTGTCTGATGTGAAAGTGAAAGTGTCATAGTTATTTAAGCATGGGATTTGGGTTACCTCTTTCTCCTTTGGTTCTTACAACATTGTTATGTCGTTTTGCAATTTACGCAGCTCTTTTGGAGCCCTATCATTTATCTCCCTGGAAATATGCCAGTATTGATATAAGTACTAGGCATTTTATTTTTATTTTTTGTGTATTTAGTACAGAGTCTATAGGGTCTTAGTGCATAGATTGGACTCGTAGTGATTCTCCTGTTTTCAGCCTCCCAAGCGCTGGGATAATAGGCTCACGCCACCACGCCCAGTGTCAGTCGTCATCTCATTGTATCACTTGAAAAATAAAATTATTGCTAGTAGAGAAATAACCTGGCAGTTTAGGAGTTATATTTGATAACTATTCAACAAGCTAAGGGTTTTGAGAGTAGATTTCTACCCAGCTTGCTTATTTATTCATTACTTTTGCTTAGTAGACGGTTAATGGAAACAGAAACAGGGTTGAAGCATGGCTCAGTGGTGTAGCACCTTCCTTGTCTGTGCGAGGGCCTGGGCTTGATCCTCAGTACTACAAGGGAAAAAAAATACCCACAAAGAACTGATTAGTATGCTAATTCACTGACGTAGCTAACATTACTTATAGGGCGTTATGTTTTCAGGTTAAAAACTTACTAGTAAGACCCAAGATATAGCTCAGTGGCACAGTGCCTGCCTGGCAAGCATAAGGTCTGACTTCAAATCCCTGTACCAAAATGTGCTCCACCCAAAAGCAAAACAAAACACTTTGTATTCATATTTGAGAATTTGACAGGTGTGATAAGGATAAATATCAGTGTTACAAATCTGTCTGTGTGGAGTTTGGTTTTTTGTTTTTTTTTTGGTGGAACCGGGGATTGAACTCAGGTCCTTGAGCTTGCCAGGGAAGCGCTTATTCCACTGAGCCATCTCCCTGGCCCCTGTCTGGAGTTTAGAGAGAGCACAGATTAGTGCCTCTCCTTGTTGGCCATGATGTATCCTGAATGTTCCAACGGATACATGGTCAGCAGTCTCTGATCCAAGCCATGGTGATGGGGAGCTTGTTGTAGAGTCTTTATGTCGCACTCCCCTCCCCACAGGGCTTGAACCCTGGGTCTTTGCATTGAGCTGTATCCCACCCTTTTTTATATTTGTATTTTGAGGCAGAGTCTTGGTCTTAAAAGAGTTTGAAATGTTCATAGGGCAGTTTGCTATACTCTGCTTAATATTTTAAGAGTGTTAACAATATTTGATTTCTGAGACAGTAAATATAGTGATGGCAGCGTTTTCTGGGATTAGCTGAGCAGGGTGGTGCCTGCTGGCTGGCTTCTCAAGTTTACCTCATAGTTCTTACTTGTAAGGTGATAGGAGGCCGTGGTGGCTCTGTTCACCCAAAGGCTACAGGACTGGAACATAGTTCGCCAGGAGGACAGCATCAGGTGTTTTTCTTCATTTAGTGTCGTCTTAGTAGTCCCACAGATGAGAGAGAGCGATATATGCTCCATATTGTACAGGTGTTGGGGTTACCTTGGCTCAAAAGCCAAAAGCTCCACAGAAACCAAAAATCTCTTATATGAATTCTATAATCATGGTTCTAGGTGCTACAAAGGATATGTAGTTTATAAATGTCACTGCACTCCGGGAAGGCCAAAGAGCACTGAGTTCCCATTTATAATGCACTTCATAGATCACTCACCCTGGTCCAGATGCAGCTGGTCAGCCAGTCCATTACTACCATAAGTCATGTCGCCTGAGGAACATTGTTAGCACCCTTACACTTTATGGGTGACCTGGAGAATAGAGTTGGAGTCTGACCCAAAGTTAAATTCTCATGCATTTTGGGAAAGAGTTTTGTTAACCTTTACCTTTCAGCACAACAAACCAAATCCCTGCCTTTAGAGGAAGTGTGACCTATATGCGCGGGCAGTGTGTGCACGGAGTCTGGAAAGCACTGTACCCTCTGGGGACTGCGCTGGGGTGTGGCGCCTGCTCGGTGTGATGCTTGGTTGGATCCTGGACTGGAGGGGAAACAGATAGCTGTAAAGGATGTTTTTGGAAGACAGTTGGAGAACTTAAATAGGTATGAGGATGGTATTTTTTTTTTTTTTTTTTTAAATGGAATAAGGATTTTTTTTTTTTTGCTCCCAATGCCTTCAGGGTAGGTTTGGCTGGCTGGAGTTGTGGGGATGGAACTACAGCAATCTGAGGCTGACGGCTTTGTGGATGCAGCCACTTAAAGAGCTGAGCTAGGGCCAGGCCCCCAAAGGATGGTATCTTTTCTGTGGAAGTGACTATGGGATTAAGGACTTTTTGAAAATTACACTGTAAAATAACCAGCAAGTTGGAGTGATTGATGAAAAAGGACCTTTGCTCCATTAGTCCTTTGGAAACTAAAAATGGACGGAAGAATCAATTTTTGAAAAACCAGTTATTTGAGCCTTATTTTTTAAGCAATTCATTAAGTAGTAGTTTTTGTTTGTTTGTGTGTATGTATTTAACACAGGGTCTACAGGGTCTCCTCTGCAGATTAGACTCATAATGATCCTCCTGTATTCAGCCTCCCAAGTGCTGGGATTACAGGGTGTGCCACCATACTCAGTCTTGTTTTAGCTTGGCAGGTGCGGCCAAACCCAGATCCCTGCGTCTGCTTAAGCAGGGGCTTTAATCTGCTGAGCTGTCTGGCTGGCCCAAGTAGTATTTAACTGTAGTCTTATTTTAGCTATAGTGTTCTAAGTTGGTAGAGAATAATCTTTGCTTGTTTACAAGGTTTTAATCTTGAGGCTCCTGATATTTCCTGACTAAAATATTTCAAATCACTTTATAGGAATCCAACAGACAGTGGTTTTGTGTCACCTCAGGGTACCACCCAGCAGACCCTGCCCTCTTTGTTCCTCTGTGGCTCCTAGGTTTGGGGGACTTCCTCCCTCCCAGTTTTACCCTTTCTCTGAGTTCTGTTTTACATTGTGTTGAAATGTCTCAATTGCTGATGGGTCTGTCTGTAGATTTATTTACCCTTCTAGGTCTCATTCTTTGGATTTCCTAATTATCAACTTACTGGACTTATAGTAGGGGATAAAAATAAAAAGGCTTATGAATGCAGGGTCTTTCCCAAGTTAAGCATGTGCTTCACTACTTAGCACTATCCCCAGCCTGCAGTCTACCATCTTGAACCAGATGTCTTCATAATTTGGAAGAAAATACTCATGGATAATTTTTTTTTTTTTCCCCCGCGGAACCAGGGATCGAACTCAGGCCCTTGTGCTTGCCAGGCAAGCACTTATTCTACTGAGCCATCTCCCTGGCCGCTCGTGGATCATTGGAACTACTTGAGCAATGCTTTCTGTCTTCTATTTATGTCGTATGTGTCTTTTATCCTTAAGATTCAGAAAAAATTCTGTCTGCCTCATAAGTGTTTGAAAACTGTCTCTAATATGTGAGAAGAAATCCATTTCTGAAGATCTGAAAGGTGGGAGAAGTTGAAAAAAGACTTAAAATGATTTAAAAGTTTGTTGGAGTTTATTCCTTATTTTAAAAATTCTTCAATTATCGTCTCATAATTGCCTGTTCCTTTCCAGGATAATTGCCAAGGTTCTAGAGGACAACAAGCTGCCTGGAGCAATTTGTTCCTTGACATGTGGTGGAGCAGATATCGGGTAGGTGAATAGAGAGAGGGCATCTTTTTTCTGCTGAAGGGCTCCAGGTTCATTAGCAAGAATCATATTTAGTAAAATAGCAGAACTTTGTTACAACCAAGGTGATGAGAATGTTCTTTTGGAATCGTTATTGTTATAGTTGTCATTGGTCTCTTTCTTAGTGTATAGCCTCTACTGCAGGGTGAGTAATTTTTTAAATCAAACCCAGGCCTTGCACATGCTAGGCAAGCACTCTACCACTGAGCTATATCCTCAGCCCCAATTTATTAGTTTTATAGTATTCATTGTTACACAGCCATCATTCCTGTCTTTTCTCCAGACCATTTTGGTCACTGCAAAAGGAAAGCACATTGCTTTGGCCGTCACTTCCATTCTCCTCCACCTCCATCCCCTGACAACTATTAATACTTTCTGTCTCAGTACAAATGCCTGTGTGGCTAGGTCATATACATGGAACCATGGAATACAAGGCCTTTTGTGTCTCAATTCTTTTCCAGAGCACAATGTTGGAACCTCTTTACACTGTAACTGGCTATAAGTGCTCTGAACTATGATAAAACCTGAGAATTTTTTTTAAAATGTATTTGGTGGTTACAGGGTCCACTATGCAGCTTGGACTCATAGTCATCCTCTTGTTTTCACTTTCCCCAGCACTGGGATTACAGGCATGTGCCACCATGCCCGGACTCTGGCCAGCTCAGTCTGTTGTGGGGACAGGGCTGAAGCAGCATGTGGTCCTGGGATCAAACCCTGGTCCCTGTGCTTGCCTAAGCAGGTGCTTTAGTCTGCTGAGCATCTTGCTGGCCCCCTCAGGTTGTTTTTACCAGCTTAGACTTTAGATGAGGTTTCTTTGGAAGCAAGTCTTTTTTTTTTTTTTTTTTTTTTTTTTTTTTGTGGCCAGCTCATCTTATGCTGGGGCCAGGGCTGGCAAGGCGTATGGCATCTGGGATCGAACCACAGTCCCTGTGCTTGCCTAAGCTTGCCGAAGCAGGCTCTTTAAACCTCTGAGCTCTCTCACCAGCTTGGAGCCAAGTTTTATAACCTATCTTGGCATAGCTGTAATTTTAGTCTGTCTGCAGCACTGTGACCATCCTGCCGTACTTAGTGGACAATCTCAAAAAGGAACAATGAGTTAGTCTTCGTTAGTATAGATGAGAATGTATTAGAAAACACAAAGCCCAGCTATGTGATAAGCTGTTGTCAAAATGTCACTTAAAATGTAAGTATTGTATCTTCTGTTCTTGTGCTGTGGGCATCCAGTCCTTTGCGTTGTTGGCTTGGGAAAACTCAGTAGTGTAGACAGGAATACATTAAGCAGGGTTGCCTTGAGTACCAGTACTTAACATTTGCAGGTTGGACCCAGAGCAACTTACTTTGGCAGGGTAAGTGCTTGTCCAGTTCTGCATTAGAGTGATGCTGTGACTGTCCTGCTCAGCTCCCACTGAACCCTTTGAAGCACTGAGCTATGCACAGAGAAGTGCAGGTCAGTAGTGCCGATTTGTATTCCTTGGGAGCAACTGATCATCCAAGCATGTCTGTCATAAATGAACTTCTTTGAAGAATAGTCTAGGATGTTTCCCTACACCATCCTAGATTTTTCATTCTTAAAGAGAATATGTATATATTCAGTTACTTTTTCCTCATTGCTGGGACAAAATATCCTACACCCAAAATTAAGGAAGGGAAGATTTATTTAGCTCATAGTTAGTGGAGGTTTCAGTCTATACTCAGTTGGCTGCAAGGCAGAGTGGCACATGGAAGAGGGAAGCCCTTCATGGCTGAGGAAAACAGGAAAGAGAAAAGGGAGGAACAGTGGTCCTGGCAGCTAGCAAGCCTTCCCCCCCCCCCCCAATTTTATGCAGCTTATCTGCCCCAGGGCAAGTGTAGCACTCACACCCATAATCCCAGCATTGGATCAAGAATTTATCACAAACTATAGAAGCTGCCCCAATGACTACATGAGGCTTTAGGGGGACAACTAGAATATTTATTTATTTATTTATTTATTTATTTATTATGGACCTGAAAAACAACTGTGATGCTCATTAAGGAAATACTGGGATTCTACTGTCCTCTTTCACTCTGAGTGTAGGAGAGACTTTCCCTTCAGCTGGCTGCTTCCTGTAGATAGTTTCTCTGTACAGATCACTCCAAATAGGTTAGCCATATGCCTTTACTTGTGACCACTACATTTCATTTTCATGAAGCGCTTCTTCGCTTGCCTGTGATGGACTTGTACATAGTCTAGACTGATGGCCTCTTCAGGGCCACTGTCAGTGCCTTCCTGCTGATACCACTGGGTGCTGCCATCACCGGGTTTCTCTGCTTGGGTGACCATGTCCCTTCCCCTGCAGCACAGCCATGGCGAAAGATGAGCGGGTGAACCTGCTGTCCTTCACAGGGAGCACTCAGGTGGGAAAACAGGTTGCCCTGATGGTGCAGGAGAGATTTGGTAAGTGGTGGCTTGCTCTCAAGGAATTTGGTTCCCTGAGAAGTAGGGATTTAACTGTATTTTAACCCTTTCCATGGAGACATTTGATCCTGTGTGTTTCAGTGGCCAGGGAGAAGATAAGGGTGCAGTGGTTAGCAGGTGATGATTAGGGGAGTCCCAAACTTAGACTGGGAAACACACACACACACACACACATTTTTTTTCCCCCGGTGGAAAATAGATCATAAAAAAAAGTATTTTTTCAGTTTGACATGGGGATGTGTGCCTCTAATTCTTGTACTCAGGAGACTGAGAGAAGGTGGCTGTGAGCTCAAGGTCAGCCTAAATTATATACCAGAACCCTTCTCAAAAATAAATTTTTAAACCATGTTTTAAAAAATAATTTCCACATTCTTCCAGACTGACTTAGCATATTAAAGAAAATTACAATTCAAGACCAATGCAGATAGTACTTACGGATTACTGTCTACACTCGTTTCTCATTCATCTACCTGAAAAGGGTTGAAAGGATTGTCTTATCATAGTTTCATGTAGTATACTTCATGACTGATTTTTTTTCTTTCTTTTTTTGCTCTTGTGGTACTGGAGATTGAACCTACGGCCTTGGCACTGAGCACCATCTCCAACCCTTATGTTATCAGGGTCTCACTAAGTCATTAGGTTGCTCGTGTGTGCCGCGCTTGACCTGGCTGTTCCCCTGCCTTCGCCTCCTAGAGTGCACCACCAGGACCAGGCACAGCTGCAATTTTGATTGTGGTTGCATTGAACTGGTGGATCGCTCATGGAGAATTGGTATCTTAACCATACTCAATATTCTGAAAAGTTAAAGCAGGGTAGGATGGGTTAGGCTATGGTTTCTTAGACATGATTCCAACACCAAAGGCAGCAATGACAAGAAGGTAGATTAGTTAGATGTAAGCCAAAATCATTAAACTAAAATTTTCTGTGCTCTAAAAGATAGTAGAAAGTGAAAAGAGCAACCCACAGCATGGCAAAAAAATTTCAGATCCTATTTCTGATAAGGAACTTGGGTCTGTAGTACATGAAGTACTTTTAAAACTGAACATTGTAAAAGGCAAATAATATAATTTAAGAATAGGAGATGGATTTGGATAGACCTTTCAAGTGTACAGTAATAAACACACGAGAAGATGCTCTGCCTCCCCAGTGTCGGTGTTCCCACCAGCAGATTTCATCTTTTGGGATTTTTTGTTGTTGGGTGTTGAACCCCGGCCTTTCTGGGTAAGCCAGCAGCTTTATGTTAACTACAGCTTCAGCTCTCAGCTTTTCCATTTTACAAAACTGAAATTCGATTCCCACTAAGTGCTAGTTCCTTCCTGCTCCCTGGCAACAACTATTCTGCTTGATCTGATTTTGACTACGTTAGTTGTTGCAAGTAAGTAGAATCTTATAATACTTTGTCTTTTTTCTTAATTTTTGTGCAAAGTCTCACTGCACAGCTCAGACTCATAGTGATCCTCCTGTTTTCAGCCTCGCCAGCACTGGGATTACCTGTGGGCACTACCATGCCCAGACTTGGTCAGCAGCTCAGCATGCCCGGGGGGTGAGGCTGGCATAGTATATGGTGCCAGGGATTGAAGCCCGGCCCCTGCACTTGCCTAAGCAGGAGCTTAGTCCGCTGAGCTATCTCACCGGGCCTTAACAATTTGTCTTTCTATGATTGGTTAATTGTGCTTTGCATAATGTCCTCAGGGTTCGTGCAGGTCTTGTATAGCATGTGATAGAGTTTCCTTCTTTGCGAAGGCTGCATAATGAGGCTATCTGTGTACTGCAGCACATCTTTCTCCATATGAAGGTGGATGGAAACATGGGATGCTTCTGTCTTCTGCCTTTTATAAATAAAACTGAAAACATTGGTTCATAGATAGCTGTTTAAGTCTTTGATTTTTCTACTTTTGCTTATATACTTTGAAATGGAATTTCTAGTCATATGGTAATACTATGTTTAACTTTGGGGGATTGTCACGCCATTTCCCACAGTGGGTGGTCAGTTTTATAGTTGTTTCTTTCTTTCTTTTTTTTTTTTTGCGGAATGAGGGTTGAACTCAGGACCTCGCACTTGCCAGGCAGGCACTTATTCTAGTGAGCCATCTCCCCAACCCTATAGTTTTTTCTTTGAAACTAATTTGAAACTTAAAAGTTACAGTATTAACAAGGGATTCTTGGGCTGGAGAGATAGCTCAGTAGAATAAGCGCCTGCCTGGCAAGTGCAGGGTCCTGAGTTCAATCCCTGGTACCATCAAAAAACCAAAAAAAAAAAACCCAAGGGATTCTTTATATCCCTTAACCAGATTCACCAACTGCTCACATTTTACTGTATTTCCTTTATTATTTTCTCTCTGTCCAGCAACATATAGCATGCATATGTGGCTGCGTGCATGCCTTTACATGTTCAGAGGGCACATTTATAGTTGAACTGTGGAGTGAGTTGAGGATGTCATCCTTTTGCCAGTATCTCCTGTACTTCCTAAGAACGTCGATGCTTTCTCATAGAACCATGATGCAGCTGTCAAAACTGTGAAATTTGACATTGATATCAGGCACATTCCTTCATAAGCCAAGATATAAATTGAAAAATAAGGGGCTGGAGAGATGGCTCAGTGGTCTAAAGCACCTACTTGGAACAAGCTTGGGGACCTTGGTTCGATCCCCCAGCACCACATGCCAGCCAGCCCCGCCCCCAGGTGGGCTGAGCTGGCCACACACATACAATAAGTAAGTGTTAAATAAATAAATGAATAAATAAAAATATTTTAAAAAAATAAATTGAAAAATAATAGGCGTAAGCTATTATTTGAGGCTATGGAGCAGTGTACAGTAAGTACAATGTTAGAAATTGATTTGTATTTGTGTGTGTTTTTTTAAAGGGAAATGTTTGCTGGAACTTGGAGGAAACAATGCCATTATCGGTAAGCCCACCCTTTTAGCTGCTTTTTCTGTTCAGAATTTCCCCATAACCATCTTAAACATATGCAAATTGTTTATGATCTCATGTTTTGTGTGTTATGCTTACCTAAGACCTAATTCCTATCTTTAGGAATTTTACTTAGCAGACAGGATACAAGTTTGGGTTAAAGGTAGAGAAAACTAAGATGGAAAAGTATTCAAGTTTAGAAACTGTCACCTGGGGCCTAGATCCTATGTGCGAGGCTTCCACTGTACGGAGTGTAGCACTAGTTCTTAGTATTTTTCCATCTCTTGTTTTCAGAAAACTCTAGAATATTGAAGTAACTCTTAATGTGACTTGTCAATTCCTTTAGAGTTCAGAGGCATTAATTGATCTTTAGGGGAATATTGGGAGCTCCTATGTTGGGAAAGAGTGCTTCCTTAAGGTGTTTGTTATTACTTATCTGGAGCTTGATTACCTATATTGCCAATTGTTTGTTTGGCACAAAAGGAAATAGTCTATCAGCTTTAATTTTGGGCTAATGTAGTGAAATCTGTAGGTTAACAGAAGAACTTTTTATCACAGTTTTTGTGTTAAAAAGTGATATTAACTGATTTTTACATTGCTGTGAAGTTTAAATGCCTAAATATATGTAGCAGACATTAGAGATTTAAAAAACACACAGTGAAGAGTTTGTTCCAGATGACTGTGAGACTTCTGTACAAGATTTAGTTAGCCCTTCTTGAGCTGTGGGTATTTGCCAGATAATAATGTATTCAGCTGTTCATGCCCATTATTTCATTTAATCCCCACAACAATGTGGAAAGGATCATGTTAGCCTCATGGAAGCTTGTACTCTGAGGTTTAAAAGGATGACACTGAGCTAATAGGCTGGCAGGTGACAGCAGCTGACAACTGCGTTCTGGCAACCCAGTTTTGGGGCACAGTGCTTTTCCTGCCTCCTCATGTCTACATGTAAGTTCCCCAGGTGTCAGTACCCCCATGTAAGAAAAAACTGAGGCTTAAGAAGTTGAAATA